TACAATATAACCAAAAGCTAACTTTTCACAAACCCTTAACTATAAAAATAAAAAAAAATAGCAAATAACGAAGCTACGTAGCATGCAGATTGATAAGGAAATCCCTACCTCAACTCTAGAAGAGGAGAAAGCCCAAAAGTCCCAAAATCGACAGTGACGAAAGCATGATTTGACCAGATTAAAATGAAGCCCTCTACCTCCTCTACACTAAAGTCTAAGGCACTTAGGGCGAGGGATGATCAAAAAGAGATGAAATCAAGGTTTGAATTTCAAAGAATCCAAAAATTGTGAAACAGGAGAGAGAGAGAGAGAGAGAGAGAGAGAGAGAGAGAGAGAGAGAGAGAGAGAGAGAGAATGGATGAGGCTGAAAACAAATATTTTTGAACACAACACCCACTTACATGGAAAATAGGCTGTGGGCACGAACATTAGGCCCCATTTGCGGCGCGACTTGCCTGACCCAGCAATATTAGGCTGCTGCCCAGCAGCCAGCCCGAAGCACTCCCAAGGTCCATACCCACCAGAAAAAACCAAAAACACCAAACAACAACGTGTCCCTACCAGAAACTAAAATAAATAGGGTTTTTCTAACTCGGGCCACTATAGTTCAAGTACAAATAAGAGGATTCAAAGAAAAAGTTAGGGTTCAATTGAAAACTATTACTCACCTCAATACATAAAAAAAAAAAAGGTAAACTATAAATACATTTTTTAATTTTGTTTAAAATGTGAATCGTTTTCTATAGTTGTGGAAATTATATTTTGTTTCTTGAAGTTTCTAACTTTATAATTAATAAATTTTTTATTAATAAATTATTAAATTAATTAACAGGTTTTAATGATGTCAAAATATATTTTAATTAATAATTTAAATAATTTTATTATTATATAAAAGAGCAATTAATAATTTTATTTTTGTAATTAATTTTATTAAAAAAAGTTTTGACAATAAAATATTGAGTAAATTACAAATACACCCCTTGAGGTTTGCTTCAAATACAGATTAATCTCTGTGGTTTGAAAAATTGCAAATACCCCATTATTAGAATTTTTTATTTAACAGAATTAACTGAAAAAATAAAATTCATAATTGTTTTTTTATACAATAATAAAATTACTTAAATTATTAATTAAAATATACTTTTAACATCATTAAAAACTGTTAATTAACTTAATAATTTATTAACAAAATAGGTAATTTGTTATGAAATTAGAAACCTCAAGGGTGAAATATAATTTTCAAAATTAGATGGGCGATTTGTATTTTAATAAAATCTCAAGGGATATATTTATAATTTATCCTAAAATATTTATAATTTTTTAAATTACATGAATAATTTATATTTTATTTTATTTTTATTTTTTAATCCCAAATAAAATCCTATATATCTAATATTTTCAATGCTCGGAGGGTTTACCTTTTTATTTTTTAAACATACTCGTGGGGTTTACTTGAACCCCTCATTACAACGTAGCGTCGCCCGTGCTGGAGAGTGACCAAAAAAGCAACGAGAGGAGAGTGACAGCAGGGCCGTGACCGGCGAGCTAGGAGAGCCCGGTGAGTTGTCTCCCTCTCCCTACTTTCTGTCCTTTTTTGTTTATAGCATTTCTGTCCTACTCATGATGAGTGGCTGGCTGGGATAACCCCCAAACACTTTTGAAAAATCCCTAATTTCTATAATTTCTTTGCCCTTATTTAATTGCTTTTAAGTTTTGGTTTATGTGTTTGTTAGACCGAATTTATTTTCCTTAATTCTTTGCTTCCTTAATTTCTGTAAACATATTCTTTGAAAGAATCTAAAGCTAATGTAACTTTGTTTCAATCTGTCTGTATATATATATATATATTTTACATATTTTTGTGGGTTAAATTTCTGTGAATTTTTGTGAGTTGAATTTATGTGGATTCTGAATTTTTGTTGGTTCAATTTTTATTTTTGTCTTTTGAATTATTGTAATGATATTCGCTAATAGCTAATAGTTGAGTGGGTCTTGGTGTGATTAACTGTTTCCTGAAAGAGTCGAAATGATTTTATCCATTTAAATTGTGATGCTTATCTTCTTTAAATTCTCCTTAGATACATTACCAGACTCTATAGCTGCTTCATGTTGTGGTAAATTAATTTGTGTTCCATTTAGTTACTGTCTGAAACGAATTCAACTTTGAATTTTTATTGTATTGTTTTTGTGCCAGTTTCTAAATTTTTGTGAGTTGAATTTATGTGGATTCTGAATTTTTGTTGGTTCAATTTTTATTTTTGTCTTTTGAATTATTGTAATGATATACTACTGATCTTATATACTATACAATTGTAGTGTGCTCCCAAATAACTCCAAATGGCTATTCTTAAATTCTCATTATGTTGAAGTTATCTCCTATTTGGTGCCCTCTTTGATTGCCTTTCATGTTTCCTTTTTACCCGTTTTCTATTTTTTTTTGGGATTAAATGCAGGGGAAATTTGAAACTCATTTTATCTTATTTTTACCTTCATTGAACTGAACTCCTTTTCCCTATTCATTTCCCAAGTTCCCATCTTATTCCTCCTCCTCTTTGCAGGATAAGGATTGTATCCAACTATTATCTTGAGTTTTTTTTTTTTTTTTTTTTTTTTTTTTTTTTTTTTTTTTATGGAATTTGAATTGGATATTTATGGTATAAGAATTAGAGATGAAATGGGACTTTTACATGATATAAAAAGACCCTCACACCCATTAAAAACTTGAAAAACTCCCCCACTCTGGCACTCCTCCACGCTGACACTCCTCTCTTTCCATCTCCATATTCCAAAGTCCCACTGAAGAACAAAAGTAGATACCTTTGTAACTCATGGACATCATGGTTGATCCATATGTTTGTCACCACCAACATTGCTATGTTTCCACAATTTTATGCCAACAATTGTCCCCTTAATGTTTGCTTTGTTATGTTTTCATTGTGATAATTTATGCACTGGAATTGTTTTGGTGCAAAAATTGGGATCATGGTGTGTGTATTTATTGACTCTTTTTGGTTGATTAGATGTTTGAAGTGAGAATTTATATGTTGTTTCTTTCATAATTTAATATTGGCCTCTTTTATTAATTTTTTTTCCCCCTCTTTTGAAATTTTGTGAGCTGTGTTGAAATTTTTGTTCTTAGAGTGTGCTATATGTTGTTGTTCAAATATTTTATTGAATGACTTTTTTGGGCAATTCTGTTAAAAATTCAATCATATTGTGACATTGATCTATCATCTATCAAGTTTGGCTTATTTCTTTACCTACCAAAAAATATATGTTTATTTGATTCTTTTTGTTTTCAATAATTGTGATTGAAATGTATGGCATAAATACATGACATGAATGTGTTCTATTCCATGTTGATCTAGCATTGTTGGTTTTTTTTTTTTAAGCTATTCTATAATTTTGTTTGTGGGTATTGTTCATGATATTTTAAAAGACAGTTAATTTGGGAATTACTCAATTGTATAATAATTTAACAAAAATAGTTAATAAAATTAAACTGGGAAAAGAATATGCTTTTCTTAAAATTTCTTCAATCTCTTAACGAAATGTAGCTGTTCTTAAGACCTCGATTAATTTGACTAAAATTTTAATTTAAAAAATTGTCATTATCTTTATAATTAGTCAAGTAAATGTAATTTTACACCATAGGGTTATCTCTAAAAATTTAAAGATGTGATGAATATTGTACAATATGAAAATAGGCCGAAGGCTTTGGAGTAAATTTTGAAGAGTTTTTTTTGAATAAATTTGGGTAAGAGAGGATATGGAATAATGGATTGAATTTTATTGATTTTTAGAGACAGAGAGATCATGGTAAAACTGAGTCTCTGATGGGTTTGATCCATTATTTTATGGTGCCAATTTTGACTATAACATAACATACTTTAGAAAATTGGGAAACTAATTTCACTTGTGTAAAGTTAAGCATTTTTTTAAAAAAAATATTTCAAAAGTAAAATGTGTAGATCAAATGTTTTATTTTAAGCGTGATTTATACCATATCAAGTTTAAATCTTCATTATACAATTCATTTTCTGAGTATTTTGTAAAGTAATTTTGAAGATATTTTTTTGGGTAACTTTTTTGCATTTTGATCTTGGTTTTGACTCTAAAAGCTTTCATCTTTGCCTGAGGTTAAAATTTTTGGTTACATTATGTCATTATTAGAAGAATTAGGAGTCTATTTTATTAGAATTGGATATTCAAGCTTTTTTCCCAATTAATTATTATTATTTTTTTTTTCCATAAAAGATATATAACTCAGCAGTAAAAACTTAAATATCACACATAGTTGGAGACTTTGCCATACAAAACATTTTCCCTGTTTCTTTGCAGAGTTGAAGGGGTGAAATTGAATTAGTAGTAAAAGTAAAGCCCACAAATTTGTTTCAAAAATTGCTATGGGATTAAGAGTCTTACGAGACTATAAAACTCTTTCAAAGAGGGGATTACCAATATCATGAGGATTTGGGTTTGCTAATCCCTTAGCAAGCCCAAAACCTGCCTGCAGCCCGGGCCTAGATCATAGGCCTAGGTCTGGGCCTTGGCATCTATTTTGAGGCCTGGCTTGTGAGCTTGGCCCACCAGGCCCGACCTGAGCTCAAGCCCGTGGCTCAACCCATTAGGCTCGATATTGTTTTTCCCCTTGTTGGCTTGGAGGATTTTTGGAATAAGAACGGAGATAGGAATATACTATTCTTACATATAATTTTTATACAAATTTCTTCACTAGAATGATCTAGTAGTAGCATCTTTGTGATTAAATATCATTTTAAGGGTCATTTTATTTTAATGTCATTTTGTATAAAATAATCACTCAATTAGTTTATAGGAAGTAATTTTTTACAAGAAAAGTATACAATTTACAATAATATTAACTAGATCATTAGAGGAAAAATATATTAAAGGGTAAATTACACTTCACCCTTTAGCTTTCACTTGAATTTCATTTTGGTCCCTCGCCTATTTATTGTAACAACTAATTCGTGATCATGGTGGAACTTTGAGGTTTTTCGATAGGATGTTACGAGCTGGGGTTAAACCTGATTTGGTCACAGTCACTACTGTCCTACCGGCTTGCACTCATTTGGCAGCGTTGATGCATGGTAGGGAGATTCATGGTTACATGATTATTAATGAATTGGAGAAAGATGGTGATGATAAAGATGATGATGTGTATGTTAAAAATGCCGTTATGGATATGTATGTAAAATGCGGGAGTATGAGGGAAGCTCGTTTGGTTTTTGATAAGATGAACTACAAAGATGTGGCATCATGGAATATCATGATTATGGGGTATGGCATGCACGGGTTTGGAGGTGAGGCGCTAGATATGTTTTATGGCATGTGTGAGGCACAATTGAGGCCTGATGAGGTGACTTTTGTTGGAGTTTTGTCAGCATGCAGCCATGTAGGCCTCGTAAGCCAAGGCCAAGAGTTTCTTGTGCAGATGCAGTCGCAATATGGGGTGGTTCCAACCATTGAACATTACACCTGCGTGATTGACATGCTTGGTAGGGCTGGGCAGCTCGAGGAGGCTTATGAACTGGTGTCAGCTATGCCAATTGAGGCCAATCCAGTGGTATGGAGGTCTTTCCTAGCAGCATGTCGGCTCCATGGGAATGCAACTTTGGCTGAGGTTGCTGCACAGCAGGTGTATGAGCTTGAACCAGAACACTGTGGAAGTTATGTATTAATGTCAAACACTTATGGTGCAGTTGGTCGATATGAGGAGGTATCAGAAGTGAGATATACAATGAAGCAACAAAATGTGAAAAAGGCGCCAGGGTGTAGTTGGATTGAACTCAGTGATGGAGTCCACATTTTTGTAACTGGTGACCGGACACATCCTGAAGACTACTTGATTTATGCTAGATTAAATTCATTAACTATTCGCATGTATGAGCACGGGTACTAACCGCGTTCTAACGCATTATAACGCTCCTGCTGCATGCTTCCTAACATTTTTCTGCTTGCTGTCTAACGTTTTACAGAGACAAATGGAACCGCTTGGTTGTCTAGTAGAAGAATTCTACTCCTTCCTCACCGAATAACCTAGGCATCCTCCTTTACGTTTCCATGTGTAATTAAGGCATGCTCAGATGTTAAGGAGATTTTAGAAGGTAGGAAGGTTCATGGATTGTTGTTTAAATTTGGGTTGGAGCTGGATATCTTTGTTGGAAGTGCGTTGGTTCATTCTTATTTGAAGTTTGGCTTCACGGATGAGGCACATCAACTGTTTGAGGAATTGCCCATCAGAGATGTTGTGCTATGGAATGCAATGATTAATGGGTTTGCACAAATTGGGCAGCTTGGCAGGGCACTGGAGGCTTGTAAGAAGATGGTTGAAGAAGGGGTTGTTCTGAGTAATTTTACAGTTACTGGGATCTTATCAATTTTTTCTATGATGGGGGACCTTAATAATGGGAGGGCAATTCATGGTTTTGCGATGAAAATGGGTTATGATTCTGGTATTGCAGTTTTAAATGCACTGATTGATTTGTATGGAAAATGCAAATGGGTTGAGGATGCATTGAAGATTTTTGAGATGATGCCAGAGAAGGATATATTTTCATGGAACTCTATATTATGTGTTCAAGAACAGTTTGGTGATCATGGTGGAACTTTGAGGTTTTTCGACAGGATGTTACGAGCTGGGGTTAAACCTGATTTGGTCACAGTCACTACTGTCCTACCGGCTTGCACTCATTTGGCAGCGTTGATGCATGGTAGGGAGATTCATGGTTACATGATTATCAATGAATTGGAGAAAGATGGTGATGATAAAGATGATGATGTGTATGTTAAAAATGCCGTTATGGATATGTATGTAAAATGCGGGAGTATGAGGGAAGCTCGTTTGGTTTTTGATATGATGAACTACAAAGATGTGGCATCATGGAATATCATGATTATGGGGTATGGCATGCATGGGTTTGGAGGTGAGGCGCTAGATATGTTTTATGGCATGTGTGAGGCACAATTGAGGCCTGATGAGGTGACTTTTGTTGGAGTTTTGTCAGCATGCAGCCATGTAGGCCTCGTAAGCCAAGGCCAAGAGTTTCTTGTGCAGATGCAGTCGCAATATGGGGTGGTTCCAACCATTGAACACTACACCTGCGTGATTGACATGCTTGGTAGGGCTGGGCAGCTCGAGGAGGCTTATGAACTGGTGTCGGCTATGCCAATTGAGGCCAATCCAGTGGTATGGAGGTCTTTCCTAGCAGCATGTCGGCTCCATGGGAATGCAACTTTGGCTGAGGTTGCTGCACAGCAGGTGTGTGAGCTTGAACCAGAACACTCTGGAAGTTATGTATTAATGTCAAACATTTATGGTGCAGTTGGTCGATATGAGGAGGTATCAGAAGTGAGATATACAATGAAGCAACAAAATGTGAAAAAGGCGCCAGGGTGTAGTTGGATTGAACTCAGTGATGGAGTCCACATTTTTGTTACTGGTGACCGGACACATCCTGAAGACTACTTGATTTATGCTAGATTAAATTCATTAACTACTCGCATGTATGAGCATGGATCCTAACCACGTTCTAACGCATTATAACGCTCCTGTTGCTTGCTTCCTAACATTTTTCTGCTTGCTGTCTAACGTTTTACAGAGACAAATGGAACCGCTTGGTTGTCTACTAGAAGAATTCTACTCCTACCTCACCGAATAACCTAGGCATCCTCCTAGAATTTTCCAATATCGGTGCTTCCTATCTATTTTTTCGAAGTCAATTTCACGTGCTACAAGTTTAAAACACTGCAAATTTCATCACGATGGCTGCAGTGTGAATTGTCTTCTATGCCATGTGCTTCTGCAACAAGCATTAGATTTCTCACAATATATATATATATATATATATATGTCTTTGCTATTAAAATCTTACGATTCGCAATTCGATTCATAATTTGATTTGTAATTTTTGTAAAATCAATATGAATCAATAAGTGAATCTATTTTAGAATTGAATCTTTAATGAGCATGATTCGATTCACTTTTTACGATTCATACAATTCTTGAAATTATTGTGTCTGATGTATTTTCGACTATTTTTTCTCCATTTTTTCTTTGAAAATAATATAATATAACTTCTAATAGCATTTAGTACCAAAATAACAAATATATATATACATGATTTGTTATTATTTTAGTCGTCATGGAGTTTTTAATAAGATCCAATCAGATTTAAGCAGACTTAACATGTTTTTAACATTTCTTTTCATTTTTTTCCTTTTAAAAAAATCATAATACATTTTCTAAAGATGTTTAAAATTAAAGTAACCTACACTATGAATTATCTATTGCTATTTTATTAAATTAAATATAGTTTAATATTACATGGGTGATGTTAGTTGTCCCTTTTAAACTATTTTGAGCTTTAAAAATAAAATATCCTAAATAATTTTTTCTTATTATTTGGTCATTGTTATTTGAAAAAATATGTATGCTTATTGTTTAAATATTAATATTGTTGTTAAATTATTGTTACTTTAGAAATTGAAAGTTGGTCTTTGTTTACTGTATTTATTAAAAATTGTTGACAAGAAATATCTAAAAAAAGGAAAAGGTAAGTTGATGATCTTACCTAGAAAATTTTGTTAACTTCTTACCTATTAAACTATGCAATCATCATTCAAAAAAACATTTTTATTAATTTAAATCTAAATATTTTATGTTCAGAAAAATACATTTAACATCTAAATGTGTAAATATATTTTTCTAAGTAATTTTAAAAAAGTGACCGAATATTTACGATTTACAATTCAAATCCCGAGTTGACACCTATGATATATATATATATATATATCTCTTCTTGGTTGAATTGGTATTACACTGTGCAGTAGTGATTTAAACTCCCTCAAATTTCAACCCCCACCACCCCACACACACGTGGTGGATGGTGATTGGAGGAGGAGAAGAAAAAGAAAAAGAAAAAGTGACCAATCAAAAAAGAAAGGGGGTCAAAAGGGGTGGGGGAAAAGGGGTCCCAATCTTTATTCTTACACTGTGCTACTGTCGGCATAGTTGCTCCTGTAACGCTGTTCAAGCCAACGTTCTGGTTCCACCGCTGCAAATCCTGGTAATTATATCCCTATTTTCATATTTATGGTCTGTTGCACAATATCAAACTATGTTATTTGCATGCATGTATTTATGTTTAGTAGATGCATAGTAAGTGTTTGTCAATATGTCTCAATAAAAAAAAAGTTTAACAACATGATTTGGATAATTGGATTTGGCTAATTTGCTTGTCCACCTGCTCTCAGTACCCAAAAGACACTTTCCCCTTTTGTTTTTTTGGGTTGGTTTGGGTTGTTAAAAGATTATCCAAAATCGAGAAAGCAAGAATATTCAGATAGAGGCTTCCTGTTTTAAGTAGTGTATAGGACAGAATATGAACAAGGTGATATCCGACACTGATATGACTAGAACAAACCGACAAAAACCAAGGTAAATGAACATTTCTTAATAATATATATTGGAAAATATTTCTTCCATATTCATTTTTGTACACAAAATTTCCCAGCATATGAAAGTAATAGATCAGACTGTGCTTAATGACATAAACAAATTATTCTTACCAAATCAGATTTCCATGGACTCGAATATCAATGGAACAGATGAAAAGAAATTAAGAAAACTATAAATAGGCTTAACTTTGTTAAGTTATAAGAATACTAGATATTGAATGTAGAGTGATAGTCTTTATAGAAGTAAAATCCTTAATAGAATCTATCATTACATTGACAAATTTGAAATAACTACATGAATATCCTAATTATTTCTCTGTTCGAACCTCCATACACGATCAATCTATTACAATTTATCAAGTTTAACCACAAACCAATTTCAAAAACAACAATTCAAATGGAGCTTTGTGATTTCAGAGCAAACCAACATGTGTGTATATACATTAACCCACAAAAGCAAACTAAAAACCCATCATACCATCAATATAAAGATCAAATTTAACAAAGCACAGAATGAAAAAAGAGCTTACAAACCACCATTTTCAAAACAAGTCTATCAAAACCAAGCACTTAAATATCATCATAACAGATAACCTTTCACACAGACATATTTGCTAGCTGTTAAATATGAGAAATATGTATTTTGATTTTGTTCTAAAAGCACACATGTGCTGCACTAGTGGTAAAAATGTTATTTCCCAGACCGAAGGTCTTGGCTGTAAATCTCATTCACCTCACTATATGATTTTATGTTTTAAATAAGCTATAGTATAGTATAGATAGATAGATTAAAAGTTCATAATTAAAAAATAGAACCCAAAATCACATCTGACTACCATACTGATCAAGTTCCTTGTCATTGTTCTTGCGTAACTGAGGAAAGGGGAGGACATCTTGAGAGACTCAAATTCTCAAACACACCCCCTCTTTTTTTTTTTTTTTTTTTTTGAGACTCAAATTCTCAAACACACCCCCTCTTTTTTTTTTTTTTTTGGTTCTCTGTTTTTGTTTTAGAAAATGACTTTGTAAAATGATGTCTCCATTCTAAGATATCAAAAAATTAGTTGGTAAGATTTTCTTCCTTGACAACAATGCTTTTATTTCTTTGTTTCATTAATGGAAATTGGTATTGGGATCATTCTGTTTTAAAGTCACTGCTATGATTGTTGGATTGGCATAAAAATCACTCACATAGAAGTTAGCTAAAGTTGTTATTATTAAAAGATGAATTTGAATTGACAAATATATCCAAACTATTCTTTTGAATATAATGTCTATTTAAATTTTATAGTATCCTTAGCTAGGAAGCACGGGTGTGGGTACGGGTATGGGCACCATACGGGTACAAAAATATGGCATATTCAAAAAAAAAAAAAAAGCTACGGGTACGGCTGAGATGCATTAATTTTTTTTTTTTAAATTTATAGCTAAACATCCAATATACAAATCAAAGTTTAATATCATAATTAAAAAATCAAAAAATAAATCATTTAACAATACTTGCAGTTACACCTATACTTCCTCATGAACTCATATTCCTATAACCATTATTAATAAAAGAAGTTGTGAATTCTTTCACTTCATTCACTTCTGTAATTTTCAAATAGCAATTTAAAAGCATCAATACTATGATGAAAGCAATTAATTTTTTTTTTAATCTTTTATTTTATATAATTCTAAATGTCTACTACAATACAAGACTACAACAGTAAGAAGAAAGGGCACAAAGTGGGTGATTTGATTTTACATTGCCTAATTTTTTTGAATAAGGTTGTAGCTTGCATCAAATTTCAGTTGCTTTGTGGGAAAAAAATGTAAAATATATATATATATATATATGTACATGAAACAAATTGGAAATATGAAAGAAAATCTAAAAAATGAATGAGAAGAAGAAAGAGTAAGAAGAATCTAAAGAAAAAAGAATCGAAGAAAGAGGAAGAATCTAAAAGAATCGAAGAAACAAAAATCTGGAGTGAAAAAAACTCACCAATGAAGAAGAAAGAGGAAGAAGAATCGAAGAAGAAGAAGAGGAACTCGCTGATGGAGAGTAGATTCATTGTCAACTAGCAGTGTCGTCTTCGATGGAGGGTAGATTCTGTTGAGTTTGATACTCTGGTGGACCAAGAAATACAACCTTTATTGATAACACTCTAGTACACAAAACATTTGTACACAATCACTCACTAGTACACTCCACTTATCCACTCACACATGCATTTAAGCACTCACACTTTGTGTCTTCCTCACACAAGACCTTGAGACATTTCACACTAGATAGTACTTGACCACTCACTTTGGACTCATTCTTCTTTCACTCAATTGTCCAATTGTCCAATTTCAGAATCAAAGAAGAAGAAGAGGAACTCGCAGATGGAGAGTAGATTCACTGTCAACTAGCAGTGTCGTCTTCGATGGAGGGTAGATTTTGTTGAGTTTGATACTCTGGTGGACCAAGAAATACAACCTTTATTGATAACACTCTAGTACACAAAACATTTGTACACAATCACTCACTAGTACACTCCACTTATCCACTCACACATACATTTAAGCACTCACACTTTGTGTCTTCCTCACACAAGACCTTGAGACATTTCACACTAGCTAGTACTTGACCACTCACTTTGGACTCATTCTTCTTTCACTCAATTGTCCAATTTCTTAGTACATGCACTCATCTCATAGTTATACTAGCTGAAGAACTTTTTAGAATACACTCATACTTTTCTTACACTCTAGAACAATCTAGATTACTCTAGTATATATTAGAGCTTTCTATTATTGTCTAAAATATTCTAGAATTTTTCAGAACTTTCTAGATTTCTCTAGTTTTCTCCAAATTTCTTTAATGTTCCGGAACCTTCTAGGATATTCTGGAATCTTCTGTATTTTTCTAGGTCTTTCCAGTACCTTCTAGATCTTTCCGGAGTATTCTAGATTCATGTGGAAACTTCTAGAATATTCTAGAAAGTGAGGAGAGTTAGTGATGACTCTCAACACTCCCCCTTAGCACTAACTCTCATTCTAGATTATGTAACCATGCCACATTGTTTTAGAAACTCTTCGTGAGTATTTCTGCACCCTGGTCCTCTACCTCGATAAACTTTGTCTCCATCTGTTCCAATATTTTCTTCTCTCTTTTGAAATGATTTATTCTTCCATGGAACATCACGTCCTTGGCCGAATATACAATCTCGATCCTTGGGCTTAAGTACTAAATGCCAGGTTCGACTCTATCTTTGTCACGCCCCAAGCTCCGTGACAATGCTGCACACTCATTTAAGTGAGCATGCAAGGCTAAGAGTCCAATCACATAACCCACAATGTAAAATACTCAAATTAAATCCTTAATTATCATAATGCTAAATCCCATAAAAATAAATGATTCTTATCATATGAAATTGTCCATCAAGTCAACTAATATAATCCACTAACAAAATAATAATCCAAATACTTAAATCATAGTCCTACTATCGGCACTCCCATAAGTAAAAATCCCGCGCAGCTCTACTTCTCAGAA